GAGAGATGCAATAAAATATAAAAAAATGCTCATCAAATTGTCTACCGACGGGGGAAGGCAGGGGCAGGGCAGGGCCGTAGCTAAAAGGCGACTGCCACTATTAAAAAGTTTTGCAGACCCGCCCCTTTGGTTAAGAAATAATAAAGAACACGAACGAGATCGAGAAGTAGACGAGACGAAAGGATGTGCTGCGTCCTGAACTTCTTGCCCCAATAATGAGCTTGGTATGTATAAAGCATAAAGCGGTGTCGTCGCGGCAGGCAAAAGAAATTCTCAAAATACATATATATTTTTTGGACAATTTTCTTTTGCTTCATGGCAAAAAAAATGAATGTAGAAAAGTGAATGGGGAGCGGGAGTGGCAGCACAATGGTGGAAATTGGCAGTCGTAAGCCAAAAAGTTTTGGGCGGGGGGTGCAAGGCGTGTACTTTGGATTATTGTAAAGCCTTTCAGTCCTTCATTTTGGTCACTTGGCCAGAGAGAAGTTTCACAAAAGAAAATTGATTGCATTACTTGGGCGGGGGACGGGGTTAGACTGTGTTTTTATGATCTCTTTAAAGTGGTTTAGAGCACAATTTATGGCTAAAAACAAATGATCTCTGGTTGATGGAGGGATATCTTTATTGTTGGCCAAAAAACTCATGAAACTTTCATGTTTCCATAAAAGAGTTGGCAGTCTAGTGGTAAAACTTCAAATATGCTCCACTTTATGCACTCAAAACATGCCCATAAATAACTATTTCCATTAACTAAAACCTTCCCTAGTTTACTTTATACCAAAATTCGCATATTCAACATAATTTAGACACCTCCAACGATCTGCGCTACTCTTCTCCCACAAGCAAGTTGGCAGCGCCACAAAATGGTTGTTGACCCACCCCCAACTCAGAGTAAATCCTCACTGTAGCAACTTTTTAGCATTCCGCACAACATTCGCCAAAGCCAATTAGCAAAAGTTTTCATTTATCAAAGGGCGCAGCGGCGATAAAAAAAAATTGGAAAGAAGTAAAAGCTTTTGCGCTTTTGATGAACTCCCTACCACACCCCCAATCCACTCTACTCTGCCCCCTCAAGGCATCATGCAAATGCTGTGTAGAAGCCGTAAAAACACTCTGAAAAGGGAAAGAGAAAAATCAAACGAAGAACGACAAAAAATGCGAGCCGCAAATTTTCCATGTCATTGCTAAGTCGCTTCATTAGTCCGAAAAAGAAGAAAAAGTAAACTTAAACAACAAAAAAAGAAATGTCGCACGCAAGATGACATCAAACGAAAAGGAGAAAGGGGGAAAACCAACAAAGAGAGGAGAGTCAGAGAACTCTAAATTGAAGAGGGAGAGAGACACTAAGAACTCTAAATCATTAAAGAGAGAAAAAGGCCAAAAACGAGAAAGAACAACAGGAAAAACATTACCGCAAAAGAAGATGAAGCAAAAGGCGACATGTTTTCCCGTTCGTTAATAATCTGCAACGAAATCTGACGGGAGGAGGCCACAAAAGAAAGGGAGGGGGCAGGGGGAGTGTAAATGGCGCAGAAAAAGGGCACAATGAGGGGAGGGAGGGGGCGTCATGAATTCCGTGCAGGGATTCCGCGTCGCAGCACGGCTGCCAGTTAGAATTTTAAAATGAACCGCAGAGAGACCCCAAATAGACCGCGGAACACCCAGCCACCCACTGCTCCACGCTCCAAAGGGTTGCGCCGTAAACACCACCCAAGAAATGACAGCAGGAAGTGCCAGCAAAAGTGAAAGAAAAAGATTTCCCAGCACCCCAAAAAAACGTAAAGTAAAACAAGAAGATTTTCTTTAAGTATTTTGCCAATAAATTTAAATCGCAGACAGTTAACAGCAAAGAGCAACGCAGGCATGGCATGGGCAGGGGCAGCCGAGGTGAGGTATTAACAAAAAAAAAAAGAAAAACAATAGACAGGGAAAATCCAAGTCGGAAAAGGGGTCGCGTGGGTTCGCAGAGACACAGCAGCAGGAGGAGCACAAACGGAAGCGGCATTAAAAACCAACAAACGCAAAGGACCTGCACACACAAAGCAGCAAAAAATACACAAAAAATGTAAGAAAGAAAGCAAAGAAAATATAGAATAAACAAAGGACCCAAAAGGGAAAAGCAGTCACGAAGCAGAAGCAGAGGAACGAACGGAAGGGAATGGAAGGGAAAGCGCGTCAGAAGCCAAATAAAGCGTTAAAAGGATTTATTCGAAGCACACAGCGCGAAGGTACGGGCCGCTGTGGAGTCTATCTAAGTGTAAGAGTGGGCTTGTGGCAGTGTGTCCCATAAAAGCAGCTTACAGGTGGCACCTTCCACCTGCCTCTGGCAGGCCCAAGCAGAGGCTTAGTTCTTTAGGAATTCTCGGCACACCCACAAAACCCCACCCACCCATCCTTCAGCCTCAGCACTTCCTTTGGCGCAAATTAAATACGCGGAAATGTATGCGAATATGTTTTTATGTTTCACGCATAATTGTTAAATATGATTTACAATCCATTCCTCGGCCTGACTGAGCGGGGGAACGGCCAATATGTTTTTTACAATTTTCTACAGATGGCAAAAAATGTTCTGCCATAATTTGCGCATATAAACAATAATCTTTTGTGAGAGTTTTGAACATAAATTGCGAATATCCCTGACTGGATTTCCATGCACCCCACTTCACATTTGTTGTTTCAGAACTGAAGATAACTTATAAATCATGTAATCAGAACAGAGCCAAAGCAGCAGCAGCAGCAGCAGCGGAGAGTAAAATGGGAGCAGAGCATGAAAAACTGAAATTGCTTTTTGTTGCTGTTGCCAGGGAATGGGATTGGGAGAGCCACGCGAGAGGGAGAGCGCAGAGGCTGGGAGTGGGAGTAGAGAGAGGAGCAGAGAGTTGAGCGGCGAGGGGGGAAGCTGTATTGGGCATGTCTCCCACACCCCACACCCCACACCCATTCCACCGCTCCGCGCTAACTGTGTGAAATGTTCTGCCTCTGGAATGCTTTCACAACTCTATAATTTATTGTGCCTTATATAACTTTATGATTGCTTGGGCACTGGCACGACGGCGGGGGTGGCGACGAGCGGAACAGGATTCGGTTCCAACTGAATTGATTTTGATGGATAAGGGAATTAAAAAGTACTCTGTAGCAGAGTTCCTTCATAACTTTCTGGATAGCTGCATAAGTTATTAGAGGGAAAATGAGTTCAATGAATTGGGTAGGAGAATAAATAAATCTGCACATAGGAATGAGAGTATTCGGAGATAAACATAGGAATACACTTATGAAGAGAGAGTGTAACCAACTGCAAACAAACTGCAGAAATTCTTTCTTTGCGCATTTATTGTTCAAGTTCTCGCCTAGTTAGGGCCATGAAAAGCTGCACTTCAGTGGGTTTGCTTCCTACACATAATCCATGTTATTCCCATATTTTGCCACTGCTCTTTTACCTTTCCGTTTCTCTTTCTGTACACATTTTTATGTACATTGTTTACCAACTAAATAAATACTTGAAGCACTTGTCGCATTTTATGTCAAACCCGTAAACACTTTCGTTCGTTCATGGCATTTCCCTTTCACAGGAATAGTTTTCCACTGAGTTTGTTGTTCCACAATAATGCCAACAAATACAAGCGCCTAGCGTTAGGATTATTCAATGTCAAACGAGCATAGCTTTAAAAGAATGCGACAGAGAGGGAGACTAAAAGGAGAGGGTGAGCGGCTTAAAGGCAGAACCTCTCCTGCTGCTGTCCTTGTAGCTTGCTCACGTGCCACGGGGCTAAAGGAGGCACCTCCTCCTGCTGCACCTCTTTCCCTTTTGAGTGTAAATTGGAGAGCTCCTGCTGCTCTCCCTCTGAGTGGCAAAGTGGCAGTGGAACAATAATGGAAACCGGCAAAGATATATGGAGCATGCAGAATTTCCCATTTGGATATGAATAATTCCCCTTTTCGAGCTGTTGCCTTTGTTGCTGCTGCTGTAGCTGTGCATTTGCTTGTTAATATTTTCATTTCCGTTGTTTTATGGCCCGATTCCGAAACATTGCCTAGACAGCGCAGCACACTGCTTCAGAAGAGAGGCAAAGAGAGAGTGTGAGAGTGGAGAAGGCGTTGAGAGTTGAGTGTCCCGTTTTACATGGACAAAACGTGCGGGAACAAGAAGCAACAGCTTCAAGTACAAGAGAAACAGAAGCAGCAGCAGCAAAAGCTGAAGGAGCAGCAAAAGAAATATCAGAAGAAGGAGCCACAGTAGAAGTAGCAACAGCAAATGAAAACCATTACACTCCACCAGGCTTATCATTGGAATGCCTCCTCCTGCTCCTATTTTCCACTCCATTGTTTGCATAAAATTGCAATTTACAATTATGAGCAAAGAGCTGTGAAAACAGTACCGATGATAAGTGAAAATGGGGAAATGCTTTTCCCTCCGATAAGGCACTGGGCGATGAAATGTAACAGAAACAGCAACAGCAACAGCGACAGAGACATTAGCTAAATGAGACAAAAACGTTGATAAATTGCCAAAGCAAACAGTGGAGCAGGGAAGGGGCAGAGTCCAGCCAATAAAAGAAAGAAAAAACAAGAAAAAAACTTAGGAGAAGCGAAGCGTAGAGTATTCCCAGTTGCATTCCCCAATGCCAAAAAGATGCTTACATAATTAGACACGCATCTCGCTCAGTCACACAAACAAGACACAAGAGGCAAGAGGCAAGACCCAAGTTGGAGGCAGGCATAAATTAATGCCAGAAACTAAGGAACGAGCCCAGACATCTTATCATTAAATTAGTTACTTCTTCCACTGGCAGGGGGAGGCCTCCTCCTCTGCTCTTCTAAATGAGAGATTATGGGCACAAGCGTGGCAATAAATTACCCAAAATCCTTATGAATGAGCGAACCAACGAGCGAGCATCTTTTCAGCTTAAATTGTGCGAACATTTCTGAGTCCTCCCCATTGAAGCATGAACAAACCTCTCCCTCTAGAAACTGTTCTTAAAGTTTAATAACAAAAATCTTACCTCCATATCTGCAATTTGTTTTATCAGCGGGTATATTGCCGTTCGGTTCGAGACGATCCAGATATTCCTCCGAATTGTAGCCATTATATGGAACTTTATTACCGTGATTATGATGCCCGCCATGACCGCCGCGATGATGATGATGATGATGGTGATGATGATGCGTCGCCTCATCGCCATCTTCGCGGGAAATTGCTGCAAAGAAAAGACGAAAAGATGATCCAAAATTAGTTCAACATTCATCGAGATGCGCGGGAATTTGTCCAGTAAGTTTTACTCAAATTAAATTCGATTTTACACAAATTGCCTTTCCCATTTGTCCACGGCTATTCCCTCTTTAATATCCATTCTCCCGTCAAAATCCACTCCTTGTCGCATTTCTCCTGTCAATATCCATAAACGTTCAAGTGATTTTGTCTCCACTTTACAGTTTTACACCCTGACAGACCGACCTACCATTAGCTCGTGACAGTTTTAGGCGGCTCGGCTCGGACCCTCCTCGAGGAGGTTCGGTCCTGCTGCAAATGGCTGACAATCAACGCCCTCTGGTCACATTCATTTGGGGTCAATATGCCAGGCTCTTTGTGGTTGAGTTGAGCCTTTGGCAAACCGCACCGCAGGATTGTGGCTCTCACTTTTCTCCGACTGAAAACTCGAGAGTCCCCACTCTGTCCCTTCCCCCTTGCTTTTGTGCTACAAATGTTTTCCGGCTTTCACGACGAATGTTTTCTGGCTTTGTTCCGGCAAATGTTTCGGACATTTGCTACAAATGTTTTCTGGCAAACATTTCTGCTACTGACTTTCCATACAAATGCTTTCATTTTCCCTCCATTAACTTGAATCGGAAATGCCCGAATTTATAAAATTAAAACCTTTATTTGGACACGTTGCAAAGGCTTAAGGGGATCTCCACCAGGGGTTTCTAGGTAGCATTTTCCACTTACACACATCATAAAAGGAAATGAGCAAATCCACCCTTTGCACAGACCGCACTGGAGCAGAGCAGGGAGTCAGGGAGTGGACGAGCGGATAAAGGGGTCTCTGGCGCTATTTTCGTGGGTATTTTCGAATGTGTCGAATATGCAAATGAGTCGCCGACAACACCGGCACAGCGCACAAAAAATTGCCTAAGCTTTTGTACAAATTTATATGGCACTCGATAGAAAAAAAGAACGGTGGTACGACGACGACGGCATAGCGGGACATCACAGAGGTGGGGCCATGTGCCGCAGTGCCTTCTAATTTCCAAAACGGAAACACAAAAGGCAGGCCGGAGTTCGGGCCAGTGTTTTGGCCAAGATTACCAGGCTGCCGTTTTACGTTCCACCTTTTACCAAGCCAAAAAACGCGAAACAAGAAAACGAGTCAAACGGGAAATTGGTTGGATATTAGCTTACCTTACCGCCACACACATACCACATACCCCTTTGGCCCCTCCTCTTTCATGGGGTTGTCCTGCCTGTGCTGTTGAGCCTGCAATTTGCTAACGATATGCATACAAGTGGGCGTGGCACTCTGGCTTAGAAATTGGGGGAAAAAATGCCAACAGAGTGGCCCACCTGCCGGCCGGACTGAGGATTTTTCCGGCGCAAAAGTCAGTCAATAAATTGTAATCAAGCAGAGTGAGGCCAGAGGCAGCAACAACGGCAAAGGCAAAGATGGAATGCAAATGGGAAAAGGCCACGAAAAAAGAGATGGGAAAAACCTGTGCCTCTGGTTGAGCTGAAATTTTTGGATGGGAAGCGCTAACCTTTGGAGATTTAAAATGTTTGTGTAGATCGATGAATATTTTAAAGGGGAAGCCGCTACACTATTGATAGCTTCGTTTTCCTATAAAAATATTTACTTTTATTTGCCTCTTTCCTTTATCAAGGTTTAGGGATTAAACAATTAACTGTAGAAAAAAACACCAACATCGTCATGTGTCTCAATTTTTGTTGTTTTCTTTCCAGTAAATTCCCTCGAACATATTTACATTACCTCCTCCCATCCCCTTGCCCCTCTAGCACACTAATTCCATCAGCTGTCGGCTAACAAAATGAATTATGGAACAGACAGAGCAGCGCAGAGCCATAAGCAGAGGAGTGTCCAGAGTCCCGGAGTCCAAGGCAGCCGCAAAGGCATCAAATATGTTTAATTAATAGCTAAAGCAAATAATACATGAACCCAAGGGATAAATTCACCCTCAAAATTCACAAATGGGGAGACCACTCCCTCGCACTTTGACTCTCTCTCGCTCGCTCACTCCCAAGTCCCCCCTATGGGATGATGTCACCCCGCAACAAAAATCACAAAATTACCGCAAATTGTCGCTACAAATAAGCAATTTATTTCGGACTGCCTGCCCATAAGAAATGCGAAAGAACAGAACTGGGGGAAGAGAGCGATAGAGAACGGGACTTCCACTCATATTTTGGAATGACTTTTTGCGGGGGGGGGGGGGGGGGGGGGGGGGGGGGGGAAGGGAAAGAGCAAAAGAAATCTCATAAACTTGTGCCAAAACACGTCGTGCAGATGCAGAGGGAACTGCAGAGCGGGCAGGAGATGGAGA